AATAAAGTTTTGACACAAAGCAACCCGTCAAAATAAATGCCCAAACGTGCAACCATTTAGCGCAGTGATTTATGATTTAGTGGTTTGCGCACATGAACATTGCGATAACGAGGCTCAAACATTATGTCGTGCAGCTCGACTCTTGTTTTTGTGGAGTTGAGTCGAAAGGCAAACTTCCAGATTTCCTGGTCCGTTTTTATTCCCCCCGAGAAAAATGTTTCCTGCTCTCCGCCGTTTTTGCACAGTTGGTGTTTTTTCACGGTGTTTCAAGCACATGGATTAAAAAAAAAAAAAAAAAAAAAACTCCTGGCTTCCTGAAGTTTCAGTCTTCTACAACAGCTAAAGCATTTTTTTTCTCAAACCCTTAAAAAGTAGAAAGCGAGCGGCGGGCGGACACACCTCTGTGTCGAAGGTGACATTTACAAACGCCTGTGTTTTGTCTCTGCAGATTGGAAGCGAGATAACATATGAAGAATTTCCAGGAAGTCAGTCAGCTGGGGAGGGTTGCATGTTTTTTTTCTTTTTAATTTATCTGCATGCAGTTCAACGGGTCGTGAGATAAGGCCTTAACGTGGTCGATGATCTGGTTTCAGGTCTTTAAACTGGTGCGTGTGCAAGCTTTGCTGGACCAGCAGGGTTTCAACAGCACCGCCTCAAACACTCAAAATAAATAAATCAGAACATTTCTGATTTCAGAATCAATCATTTACAAACTGCTGTCTTTTTAAAAACCTAGATCTGTAAAACATTTGAGCACCCAGAATAATTGCTTTAATGTAATTTATTGGTTTGTTGTTACTGTAAGGTTTTGAGGAACTACTTATTTTAAGGTTAATTTAAACTCACTGTAAAACAAGTTTCAACTCCTGAAAGGAACCTTTGTATCACTTTTCTCTGCTTGTTGGCTTTGAAACTGAACAAACGGTTCCGTTTACCAGAAATGCAGAGATAAAGTCCTCCGTATCACCGTTCAGCCTTCAAAATAAGATGTAATTTTATCGTTTATCTGTGCTGTGACCCAAAATAAACACTTCTAAACGTTATTATCTGTTTAGTTTTGTGTCAGCCTTGAGCTGTGACCTCGCTTAAAGAGACTTTTAAGTATTTCTGCTTACTCTTGCTGAAAAAAAAAAAAAAATCACATATTTGGGTGAAAGATGTGAAAGATAGAATTTCGCTGCCGGGACAAATGTTTGATTTTTAACTTTTAAGAGTTTGTAGACCACTACAGAAACATGTGAGCGTTTTAAAATCTGATTTATGAGCTAAATTAATTAATTTTAAACATGTCAAACAACTTCTTCTTTCTGGTTAGAAACGAGTCCATCTGTCAACTGATGCAGCGATGATGACCTGATCCGCAGGTCGTCATTAAAAACCCACCAGTCTGCAGGTTTGTCTGCTCCTCCTCTGCACACGGTTCAGTTTCAGCCCGTGTACCTGACCGACAGGACTTTAGCCGCAGGAACATTTAAGGTCAAAACCACGAGTGAGTTGCGTTTCGACGGCACGCTCCCTTCCCCCAGTCGAGGAATTCTGTTCCCAGGCTGCCTGGCATTCCTCACCGCTGCATCATGGGACCTTTGTGCCTGACTCCAAACACACAAACCTGCTGGTGGGAGATATCACACAGGTTGTTGTTTTCTGGAAGATAAGGCATCCATCCATCCGTCAGCCTGTTTATTTTTACATCCCCTCGCTTTCTCTCCATTCATCCACACCTCCTCGCGCTCCCTCTCTTGTCTCGTCCTTTCTTTTCTCCTCTCACAAACCTACCTGATGCTAACGGCAGGAGGACGTCGTGCTGCTGGGTAAACTGGGCCGGTTCAGTCCAGTTCCATATGAGGACTTAAAGGTTCACGTTTTCATCAATTACTGCCAGTGTTGTATATAGTACCACAAAGAGGTACTTGAGTAAAAGTACAAGTATCTTACTAAAAATTTACTTTGGTAAAAGTTAAAGTCTCCTTTAGGAATATTACTTGAGTAAAAGTCTTAAAGTATGTGATATTTTTTGTACTTAAGTATCAAAAGTAAATTTATGACACAAAATCTACTTATGTATTCAAAGTAAAAGTACTGAGTACAAGTGAGCAGTTTGATTTTCTAGAATGACATTTATTGGGAGGTGACTTCTCCAAAAAATAACTTTTTTTTTC